GCAAGAAGCGATGGCGGAGGTGGCCAAGGCGCTTCTATGACCGGCAGCGTGGAGGCATCCATCCATCCGTTCGGGGGGCGACCGGGCAAAAGGTGGGGAGACGTGCATCAAGGTGCGCCGATGGGAGGGAGTGGTGTGTGGGAAGGGGAGGGGGTTCCAGGAGGGGATCTGCGGTGGAGGTGGAGCGACGACGAGGGATCGACAGTGGGCGGCGGAGGATGGACGCCTGGGGTTGTGGTGGCGTCGCAGGACGGAGGTCGTGGCACTTGGCGTGGCGATGCCGGTGTGGCATGCGTTGGTCGTGATGGAGGCGCAAGAGGGCGAGGGGATTGGGGATGGAGGCGAGGAGGGATTGGCCGACGTCTGATCCCGATGGTGAGGAGACGCGACGATGACGGTGGCGGCGACGGCAATGCAAGACAGCAAGAGGGAAAGGGAGGAGAGGAGATAGGGTGACGAGAGGGATGTGGGTTGTGGGGGTGCGGTGCTGCACTGCTGCGTGATGCGGAGCAACGCGGGCTGACGGAGGAGCGTTGGATGTGTCGGAGGATCCTGAAAAAGACGTGAGCCGTTGGATTGCGCAGGACTCTCCACCACCACTACTGATTTTCTAAGTAGTAGAGATAGAGATTGGTCCACCTAGTCAGATTTCCGTCTATATATATCTTTTATTTTTGTCCCTAATAAAAAAAACTGATCTGATTTTTCTCCTTCAATTTGCCTTCAAAACTATCGGAAGAGGTTGTGATTCTCCGCTCCAAAACCCATCTACAAAACCATCTCATTGACTATTTCCCTGTACACAACGATTCTGCCCAAAATCTCTCGAGTCTCTACAGCACCTCCACCTTGGATGGCGGCCGCCAGCGGCAGCACTATTCCCTACAGCCCTGGCCGCACGTCGCCGGTACTGTGGTGCCCAGGCCCCAGAACCCCAGATCTAGTCCGGCCGTGCGGCGGGCGTGCATCCTTGATCGGGTGGTTCACTGGTTCTGGGGCCGTTCCCCGGGTTGCCTCCCCGGCATGTGCTTGCCGCACTGCAGCAGCAGCCGCATCACCATGATGTATTCACTTGCTGAATTTGAAGGCAATCAACAGCAGGTTAGCATAACAGTTACTTCCTCCGTTTCACAATGTAAGTCATTCTAGTATTTTCTATATTCATATTGATGTTAATGAATCTAGATAACATTTATATTGATGTTAATGAATCTAGATAGATATATATGTTTAGATTCATTAACATCAATATGAATGTCGAAAATGCTAGAATGACTTACATTGTGAAACGGAGGGAGCATGTAAGATCGCACAAGATCAAACAAACCTATCAGAGTGAATGGAGCATGTAGGATCGCACAAGATGAAACAAACCTATCAGAGTGAATGGTAGGGAAAACAAAAAACCCAAAAATCTTTTGCGGAATTAAAGATTAACCTCGAACGGAGTCGATGACAAAGCTCTATCGCCGTTGGTCGAACCGCCTTCCTACCGTCGGTCAGTCCGCCGAAGCCTCACCGGTCAGACCGCCCAAAGACCAGCGGTCAAACCGCCACTATCCCACCGGTTAGACCACGCGCATACCTGCAGTTAGACCGTCGGGACACAGAGACACCAGTAGGTGACAAACTCAAATATGTAGATTATAACTTTCGACATTATTGCATCAACTAGTGTTTACAAAGTGCACCAACAGCACTCCTCACCAAAATCTCGAACTAAACTCGAAACCCTAACTTTGTCTCAATTCAAGTCTCTCTAAAACCGATACCGGGAGGCCTCACCCTCCCTCTCTATTTATACATGAGGTAGGTTGTGCAAAGCCCACGAATCTAACACGATTTAGAACTCCTAACTCACGTAAGAAACCCTCTCTTGCAAGTATCGAACTCATCTCTTTCCTTATTTCAATCAATCTTACCGAATTCGGACTCCCTTCCAAATTCAACTCCTCTTTCCATACATACACAATCCCTCTTGTATACCATATGAATTTCTTCATCATGACGTGTGTTGTCCTCTAGCCTTTAGTATCCCACATGATCTCTTGATCCCTGGACATCAACTTCTCCCAAGTTGACTCCGATCTATCACCGGCAATACTCTCCCGAAGCCTCAAGCAATACCTGCACATGCAACAACCAAGAAACCATATTCCGAGCACAAGTTCGTCCCAACTTGACTCACATTAGTATAATAACAGTATCAATACTTATAGAAACCATCTAGAAGCCAAATCCCCGAAGGAAACATCCAAATTCAACAAAACAACCCGAAATCGAACACGATTAGGATCATGCCTGTCAGACCGTCAGGTCGGCCAGTCTGACCGCCGCAACACTTGCGGTCCGACCAGTGGCACTCAGCCGGTCTGACCGCCAGGGTCAACCGAAAACTACCACTTCACAAAAACAACCGTCTTAAAAAAACTCCAAAATAACATTAGCAAACCACCAATATTTTCATCACAAAATCTAAATCAACTCTAGGATTTTACAATCTCCCCTTGATGAAAATCATTGGAAAACAACAACTGGTTTGTGGTGTTTTGTGAAGCAAATCCAAAAAGCATCTCAATGCCAAAAAGTTTCAAAGAAAAATCTCTCACTTTTGAAAAAAAAAGAAATTCCTTCTACTTATGACAATTATGCACAATTTGTTACCTTGTTCTCCCCCTTTTGACAATGAGTTAATGAACATTTCTTTTTTTCGAAAAGCTTTGCTATAACAAAAGTATTTCAAGAACATGTGTTGCAATAACAAGGTAGATAGCATGACAATCTAGTTAACAAGCATGCATAGAAGTGTAAACATGAATCTAAGATATTGTCAATAAGATCAAATCAACACTAAAGATTCATGACTTCAAATGATTTATAATGCAATATATTCACAAGCACATAGGTTGAAAAATAAACACTATACATATATACCTATTGCATTTATCACTCTTTCCCAAATTAGCTTCAGCACAAAACAATCAAGAGAAATTTTTAACTTTTATTTGAGCCTTTTTGCTCATTTTTTCTCTGAATTATGTCGGGTACGTCCTTGTCATTAAGACTGTTTCCAAGGATTCGACACCCATTATTTTTGTTCGCATCAAATACATCCTTGTTGTCAAGACTGATTTCAAGAATTCGGAATTCTTTTTTTCTCTTATAGATATTTTTTATTCTCTTGCACAATGAGCAATTTAAAGCTATTTAAGGAATAGCAATTCAATAAAGCATACACATAAGCATTAACAAATCAAACCATATGCTAGCATCAATATTGCATATTTCGTTAATTCAAGTGAAAGATTATGTATCATGTATCATATCACTTAAAAACAATATCAAAAGCTCATATAAAAACTAACATGCATACAAGCTAGTCTAGTCATCATATTATCTAACATGTACTGATAGCATGCTCAAGTATATACCAAAAGTACAAACAAAGCTCTTCTTCTTTTTCAATTTTGTATTTTTTTTATATTTTCCATTTTTATCACACCATGCATGAATTAAAACATGAATGCAAAAAGAAAAATAAAAAGAAGAAAAGAAAACATGAATGCAACAGAGAGCCAAAACTCCCCCTTAATTGATGCCAAAAGGACGAACAATCCCCAACTCGCCTCGAAAAAAAGCAAATCAAGAAGAATCCAACGATTTCGTGAAAATATCCGCCAATTGCAATTGAGTATCAACAAAAGCCAATTAAACATCTCCCTTCTCAACATCATCCCTCAAAAAGTGATAGCGAATGTCAATGTGTTCAGTGTGTGAGTGTTGTACAGGGTTCTTAGCAATATTAATAGCACTAGTATTATCACAAAAGAAAGGAACTTTCTCAAAAGTAAGACCATAATCTCTCAAAGTTGAAATAAGCCAAAGAATCTAAGAACAACAACTAGCAGCAATAACATATTCAGACTCAGCAGTTGATTGAACAACATTAGATTGTTTCCTAGAAGACCAAGCAATCAAAGAAGTACCAAGAGAATAACATGTTCCACTTGTACTTTTCCTATAAATTCTACACCCACTACAATCCGCATCCGAATAACCACTCAAGCATATAGAAGATGATGTAGAATACCATATTCCAAATACCTCATGATGCGTTTAACAACTTGACGATGTGAAGCACGTGGAGAAGCTTGAAAACGAGCACATAAATACATAGCAAATTGAATGTCCAGTCTCAAAACAGTGAGATAGAGCAAAGATCCAATCATGTTCCTACACTCCTTTGATCCACAACTTCACCATCTTCATCGAGATCCAACACAACAGTTGATCCCATTGGTGTAGAGATTGGCTTGCAATCCACACTACAAGAGATCTAATGATAGATGACACTCCATTTATGTCACAAACATTGAATTTTTCATCACGTTTCGTAATCTATGACGCTCACGTGACGAAAATTCATTTGTCACCTATCATGCGTCTCTAATGGTGTTCTATGACGAAACCCTATTTTTTCGTTATTAATCTAGTGACGATCCTTCTGCCGTCCTAACATTGTGACGCTCATATTCATTATTATCTAGCTAAAAAACGTCATAAAATATCATGTGGCCTGTTAAGGCCCATGTAGTGAGCAACCTATCTTTGGGCTAGGCCTTGTTAAGGCCCATGTACTGAGAAACCTATTTATGGGCTAGGCCTATTTGAAGTCCAATTAGATTTTAATAAATTCAGCCCAATTATACTATATCCATCTATATTGAATTAAATATTGAGTGGGCTCTACATATTCAAAAGACCTAATATGCCCAAGCATTACAATGAAATTGCATCTGGGTCATGCATACTTGAGAAGCCCATATATCAAACAGATTTAGCCAGTTAAAATCCAATACAAAACCCAATTAACATCCACACATCTGACATCTGCAGTACTATGAATTAACACGTGGCCAACCCAGCCACTTGTCCAAATACAACCACAATCGCTGACCAAATTAAAATACATTATAGGCTCATTATCTAAACAAGTTCAATTATATGACAGCTTCACTGACCAAAAATTATTTCACATGTGCAGTTACATCAGGTCCTGAATAGCAAAATAAACAGGTTTGGCACATTACTATCCTAATCGAGTCACAACTCAATCACCGTCCAAAACAAAGTCATATGTCCAAATAATCATTCAAATTAACTGACCTGAACAAGTCACATGTCAAAGTCGCACCAACTAAAACACTACAACCATCTCATCATGAATCAGCATATTACTAAGACTGGCCAAAAGAAGAATTATTAAGGCCAATCAACTGACGAAGAAGGGTATTGGTCTCCTCAAATTTCCAATCTCTTCCAACTGTTGCTTTCTTGTTGCTTTTGATTCATCTATCTTTTCCTTCAAGGAATCCAACTTATCCTGCCACAACCATACAAAATATTACTTATATTGCCTTTTGCTCTCTGTCATGAACACACTAGTATATGAGAGGTAACACATGTAGCATATTTCTATCACACGTAGCAAGGCAACATGAAGCCAACAAAACGCAAGCATGTAATATCTTTTATTTTGCCAACCATACACAACATGTAGCTGAAAGCATTCATCTCTTATGAAAAAAAAAATCCAAGATACCATAGATCAAGAATAAAGTTACACCACAGAATTACTAAAATTACATCAATGCATTCTATAGTAAGTTTCTTTTATAGTTGGATTTTAATTATCAGAACTAGTACTTGGGAGCAAAGAAAGCAATATGGAAGAAAAACATATAGCACCTAAGATTTAGCTATAGGTGTTCAACTTCTCCATTTAAAATTCAGATTATAACTTAATAGAAGCAACATATATGTACATACAAATGAAGTGAAGTAAAATTAATCATGCCACAAGTAACAATTCCTATAAACTAAGACCTAATTCATGTCATGCAGATGTAGTTACTCTCATAAAACAACCCATGAACATATAGTACTACAACAAACAATTAAAAATTAAGACAGTTGCACTATTAGGGAAGAAGACTTGATCTAATGACAATATGTGCATACTAAATGAAGTGAAGTGAAGTGAAGGATATATGAGATGTAGTGCGTGGGGCTAGAGAGTTTACATCTAGTATTTGCAATAGAGGGGTTCCAGCAGTGCATTGGGTTGCTTTGTACTTTTGCCAGTTGCAGCTGAGACTCTTCTCGCGCGCAAGAAGCTAAACTAGCTGGCAAAGAGGACATCTTCTTGGATGAGTCATCATGCAAGCCAAATCTCTGTCCAACAATAAAAACATGAATGAATGTTATTGGGCAAGATACCAAAACACTACACATGTCATCTCTAACTAGTAAAGCTGTAATTAGGTGCACAGGACTCTTCAATTTGTGGTGCGCCATCGATGGTTCCCTGAATAATGTGCAAGTAATTTCTGAGGAATAGGCATCATGTAATGAAATCGTGTAACTGCATATATAAGGGTGGGTGTCAATTGCAAACAGTTTTACATGACAGACAAAAATGCAGTTCAATTACCTGATTTATCAGTGCAAGCGTGCAGTAAGGTGGTGGGAAGTAGAGTGAGAAATTTGTACTACTAGTAATGAAAACAAATCTGAAATTGCAGGAACTTACTCCTATTAATTGGACCTTGCACTATCTATAAGTTTATGCAGTGACATTCTGCGGCATAACATTTTTTTTGCAACTGCTACCAGATTAGATAAGGGCGACCTGCGAGAACTGCACGATTACTGGGGAGGGAGGACGGCGATGGAGGCAATGTCATAGGCCTTGTTCATTCAAACAACATACAAATAAGGCGCCGTGCTCCTTTTCCACATCCATCGGCCATCCCAATTGTAAAATCAAAGGTGTTTTCTTTATTATTATTCTGTGATGAACAATTGACAATGGAGATTATTGGTTTTCATATTTGGAATTTATTCACGAAGTGGTTTTGGAGATGATTGGATTTCACAGGTGATCGCAGGATTTGTCATTTTATGTGACCGGTCATACCTGGCTCTGGTAGCCGGTTAGACCGGCGTGTATCGCGCGGTCAGACCGGCCGACATTGTGTCGGTTTCGGTTTTGGGTTGTTTGTTTGGATATCCGTGATTATTTCATGATTATGGCTTCTAAATGGATACTATACGTATGTAATACTGTTGTTTACTACTAATGAGTCAAGTTGGAGATAGCTTGGTCTCGGAATATGGTTTTCTTTGTTCATTTCATGTGTAGGTGACTCGATGCCTCGGGAGAGTATTTGCGGTGATGGACCGAGAGTCGGCTTGGGGATAAGACGACGTCCGTGGTGGACAGAGATTATGCGGGATACTTAGGCTAGAGTTGATGCACGTGGTTGATGGAGATTCCATATGGCATATGATGGAGGTATTGTGTGCGTATGGGATGCGGAGTCGAATTTGGAAGGAGTCCAAATTTGGTACGATTGGTTATGTAAAGTTTCTTTCTTGTACTAGAGGGTTTCCTAAGGTGTTTAGGACTCTTAGTATGAGTTTGGTTCGTGGCTTTAGGCTGCCTACCTCGGGTATAAATAGAGGGGGAGCGTGAGGCTTCCCGGTATCGCTTTTGAGAGTAATTGAGTTGAGTTTAGAGTTACGGTTTCGAGTTTAGTCGAAATTTTGAAGGAGTGCTGTTGTTGCACTTTGTAAACACAGAGAGAATCAATAAAGTCGTCATCCACTTTAAGAGTTCTTCGATTTGTGTTTCACCGGGTTTCGGCGGTCTAACCAGCAACTCACCGGCGGTCAGACCGGCGGCAAGCGGCGGTCAGACTGGCGACATACGGGCGGTCCGACCGGCAGCGGCAACAGGCACGGCAGGCATCTCAGCGGTTCGACCGATCGATCTACATCGGTCAGACCGACGTTCATCAGGCGGTCAGACCGGCGCATATACTTCGGTCAGACCGCGATCCGTCGATTTCGAGGGTAACTTTTATTTCCGCTAAAAGTTTTCGGTTTTTGGTATACCAACCATTCACCCCCCTGGTTGGCTTATTTATTGTGTTTCGATCCTACAATGATTTGGGATGCAAGTTCTAGAACATGGATATAAATTAATATGTATTGAACTACATGATATATATGCAATTTATCAAACCAAAATCAGTCTGATAGCATCAATTTGTGATAACTAGCTAGCTTCACCAATAACTTGACTGAGGTTAGTGAGGTTATATCTTTACCATCCCTAAATCTCTACTAATTACTACAATATAGCCATGCATATATTAACTGAAGTTGCAACTGCAAATCTTACCTCATAGTCCAATTTTTAAGACTTATTCGAATCAAGCTATAACAACCTGTTTGTGCCACTGCCATATTTCGCCTTAATTAGAGTTAGTTTATTTTGGGCAGGCCAAATTATTTAGTGTCGCCTTCATTTCCTGGATATTTGTGTTTAGCCATTTAATCTGACAGATGTACCATGCAGTCTCAACAGCTAACTACTATACTTGCTCACTGATGATCATGAAAGCTTAGACATCAATGAACATATCACGATACTGTGATGGTGTATGGAAATATCACGGTATACCATTAACCAAGATGGCATGAAATTATCCTTCGTTTTTTAATAATTAACCAAGAAACAGGAATATCCCGGGAAGCACTGTTAACATGCTTGTATATCTAATAACAAGGCAACTTTAATTTTCTTGTTTTCTTTCTGAAAGTAACCTTCAACAATGAACCGTACCCCACACAAGTTTGTTTTAATTAATTATCGTTTATAATTAACTAACAGAATGAGTTGATTCACTGATACATATTTCAGACACATCTCATAGTTCAAAATGTAGGATCGAAACACAAGAACTAAGCCAACCAGAGAGGGGCGAATAGTTGGTATATCCAAAAACCCAAACTTTTTGTGGAATTAAAAGTTACCCTCAAATTCGATGTAGATCGGTCTGACCGAGGTTGATCCGCCGGTCTGATCGCGCCTATACCGTTGGTCTGACCAAAGTTGTTAGCCCGGTCCAACCGCCTGAAGATCGCTTCTGCCTCCTGTCGCCGTCGCTGGTCTGACTGCAGGTAAGCCGTTGGTCTGACCACCGCAAAGCCGCCGGTATGTCGCCGGTTAGACCTCCGAACCCGGGCAAACACAAATCGAAGAACTTTCAAAGTAGATGACAACTTTATTGCCTCTCTTCGCATTTACAAAGTGCAACAACAACACTCTTTATAAAAATCTCGACTAAACTCGAACACCTAACTAAAATATCAACTCAATGCTCTCAAAAGTGATACCGGGAAGCCTCACGCTCCCTCTCAATTTATACATGAGGTAGGAAGCCTAAAGCCACGAACCAAACTCATACTAGAAGTCCTAATCCACATAGGAAACCTTCTCATGCAAGAACTAAGCCAACCAGAGAGGGGTGAATAGTTGGTATACCTAAAATCCCAAACTTTTTGCGGAATTAAAAGTTACCCTCAAATTCGATGTAGATCGGTCTGACCGAGGTTGATCCGCCGGTCTGATCGCGCCTATACCGTCGGTCTGACCGAAGTTGTTAGCCCGGTCCACCGCCTGAAGATCGCTTCTGCCTCCTGTCGCCGTCGCTGGTCTGACCGCAGGTATGCCGTTGGTCTGACCACCGCAAAGCCGCCGATATGTCGCCGGTTAGACCTCCGAACCTAGGCAAACACAAATCGATGAACTTTCAAAGTAGATGACAACTTTATTGCTTCTCTCCGCATTTACAAAGTGCAACAACAGCACTCCTTACAAAAATCTCGACTAAACTCGAACCCCTAACTAAAATATCAACTCAATGCTCTCAAAAGTGATACCGGGAAGCCTCACGCTCCCTCTCAATTTATACATGAGGTAGGAAGCCTAAAGCCACGAACCAAACTCATACTAGAAGTCCTAATCCACATAGGAAACCTTCTTGTGCAAGAAACAAACTTTACAAATTAACTCCAATCATACCAAATTTGGCCTCCTTCCAAATTCGACTCCGCATCCCATACGCACACAATACCTCTATCGTATGCCATATGAAATCTTTACCAACCACGTGCATTGAACTCTAGCCTAAGTATCCCGCATGATATCAGACCATCACGGACATCGTCTTATCCCCAAGCCGACTCCCAATCCATCACCAGCAATACTCTCCCAAGCCATCAAGACATCTACACATGAAACAAACAAAGAAACCATATTCCGAGACCAAGCACTCTCTAACTTGACTTATTAGTAGCAAACAACAGTATTATATACGTATAGTATCCATCCAGAAGCCATAATTATGAAACAATCACGGAATTCCAAACAAACAACCCGAAACCGAAACCGACACAGAGTCGCCCGGTCAGACCGTGGGCTGGCCGGTCTGACCGGCAGCACATGCCCGGTCAGACCGGACCCAACAAAACAACAGCACCTGTAGATCACTTGTAAAATCCAATCATCTCCAAAACCAATTCGAAAATAAATTCCAAATATCAAAACCAATAATCTCCAATGCCAATTATTATTATAGAATAACAATCAAAAACACTTTGATTTTACACAAAATATATTTTTGGGTAAAAGAACATAAGTTTTCACTGATACATTTAAGACAAATCTCATAAACAAAATCCCGTATTTATTTTATTTTGTGTTCTAGTAAAACATTTAATATGTTCTTCAAAGATTTGAGATTGCGAGCAATAAATAGAAGTTTGCCCAAGCCTCCATCCTTCTTGGTATTAGTAGTTTCTTTTGTTAAAAAAATTGGTAATTTGCTTTAGCTGTGTGTGAAAGAAAGCCTAGAACAGGAGCAAAGTCTTGTACAAGAAAGGACTACAGAGAACTACTAACAAAGAAACAGAAGCTACCATGGTTTTCCAGCACCAGTTCAGAGCTTAGAAACATTCCGAACAAAAAGATAAGCGGCGTACTTCATTCCATAACCTTTTTTCTTTTTTTGCCCAAACTAAAACTGCACATGAACCGCCGCACCCTGACCGACATAGACATGGTTGATGTGCTCTGCAATTCCGAGCACCATTCCGTGATCCATGGCCTTCTGACTTTGCAGAGAGAGATTTTCTGGCTTACCGGGCAAACAAGGAAGAGAATCGTACGTCTTTGTTCCCGAATGCATCCTAACCCTAACGCACAATGGTGATCGGGTTGATTTGTGCCTGAAGTTAGATGATTATCATTGCACTTAGAAACTGAATTAGCTGAATATGAGACGAACTGGTGGCAAGGCGTTGTGCGTGTGGATGGATAAATGGACGCAGTGGCCTTTTATACGCTTCAGCACTCCATCATCTAATATGCTAAATAGCATTGTTTGCTTTTCTGAGACAATATCAGTTGTGGTAGGGTACGTACTCGGTATATGCTAGCAGAGTCAGAACAACATGTTGCAATTAAGTCACTGCTGCAGAGAGGGGTTAACTCCAAGCTTCCGATAAGTATATTTTCTTTGGATAAATGTGTGGTATCTTTTCAAAGGGATAAGGATGGCAAAATTGGTCAAAATAACGGAGAAATTGTGAAATGGAAGGAAGTAGTATGTTTAAGGTGAAGCCAATTCTGTTGTTGTAAGGTGAATCCAAAAATATCGGTGGTATAGAGCTAAACATCCAGTATTTTCTACGGTATTAATTGAACCGTATTTTTTGAATACCAATGAACTAACATGACTTGCAAGCAAAAACCATTAACTTTTGAGGTTTTCTTCCATATTTGAAGAGGTATATACCTACTCACAATTTCAGATTTAAACAATTAAACTGGTTAAATTGATTAGATAAAAAATTAATGTCTAATTAGTCGTTGCGAGGTATAGAGAGGTATATATAACTCTCCATGTCAATCCAGGGGTATATACTGTAAAATCAAAGGTGTTTTTGGTTATTATTCTGTGATGAACAATTGGGCATTGGAGATTATTGGTTCTGTTATTTGGATTTATTTACGAAGTGGTTTTGGAGATGACTGGATTTCACAGGTGAATCACAGGTTCATTATTTCATGTGACCGGTCAGACCGGGCAGGTGCTGCCGGTCAGACTGGCGGTGATCAAACGGTCGGACCGGCCAGCCCACGGTCTGACCGGCCGACACTATGTCGGTTTCAGTTTCGGGTTGTTTATTTGGATATCCGAGTTTATTTCATGATTATAACTTCTAGATGGATACTATACATATGTAATACTATTGTTTGCTGCTAATGAGTCAAGTTGGAGATAGCTTGGTCTCGGAATATGGTTTCTTTGTTTGTTCCATGTGTAGGTGACTCGATGTCTCGGGAGAGTATTTGCGGTGATAGACCGGGAGTCGGCTTGGGGATAAGACGACGTCCGTGGTGGTCAGAGATCATGCGGGATACTTAGGCTAGAGTTGATGCACGTGGTTGATGGAAATTCCATATGGCATTCGATGGAGTTATTGTGTGCGTATGGGATGCGGAGTCGAATTTGGAAGGAATCCAAATTTGGTACGATTGGTTATGTAAAGTTTCTTTCTTGTACTAGTGGGTTTCCTAAGATGTTTAGGACTCCTAGTATGAGTTTGGTTCGTGGCTTTAGGCTGCCTATCTCATGTATAAATAGAGGGGGAGCGTGAGGCTTCCCGGTATCGCTTTAGAGAGCAATTGAGTTGAGTTTTGAGTTAGGGTTTCGAGTTTAGTCGAAATTTTTATAAGGAATGTTGTTGGTGCACTTTGTAAACACAGAGAGAATCAATAAAGTTGTGATCTACTTTGATAGTTCTTCGATTTGTGTTTCACCGGGTTTCGGCGGTCTAACCGGCGGCGCACCGGCGGTCAGACCAGCAGCATCGCGGCGGTTCGACTGGCAGGCACACGGCGGTCAGACCGGCGGCGACAGGAGTCGGCGGCAGACGTTCTTGGCGGTTCGACCAATCGATCTACATCGGTCAGACCGACGTTAATCAGGCGGTGAGACCGGCGCAACTACTTTGGTCAGACCGCAATCCATCGATTTCGATGGTAACTTTTATTTCCGCTAAAAGTTTTAGGTTTTTGGGTATACCAACCATTCACCCCCTCTGGTTGGCTTAGTTCTTGTGTTTCGATCCTACATATACCTCTAGAATGTAGGTACATACGTTATAATTGGCACAAATATGTATACCTCTAGAAAATATAAGAAAATTTCACAAGTATTTATAAAGATAACTTTCCAATTATATTCTAACTTGTACGATTAATTTTGATTCCCCATTTTATGGAGGGTAAAAGGAGATGTACATATATATCATGTATGGAGAGCTATATACCTCTCAAAGTTTGAGAGAAAATCACTTAACCTTTTTACCTTTTCAACACTTATTTTACTACTCGATATCATATCAGTCCCCTACACTCCAGCCATTTCATTCAGACTACTGCAATACGTCCACGTATCAACCGATCCAATATATAAAGGCCATTCCCAACCCAAGAAACTAGACATAGTTTCCATAAACTCTACATCATCAAGAAACTAGTACTAGACACTACTCTTTCAATGCAAACACTACTATTCCATACTTAAATTTAATGCTACTTATCTCACATGATGTCTTCGATGTTGTGTAGAAACTATGTTTCATGCAAGACATGGTTTCCTTCTCTTTCTTCATTTATACATTTGCCACATTATTTTTTATCCTAGGTGGCAACTTATTTAATGCTATGGACACCATCTTAGTTATTAGGTTGGGAATGGCCTAAGCCAGAAAGCAACACATCCATCGGACCTTCCGAATTCTGTTTTTCACTTTTTTTTTCGAAAGCTACAAAACTCTACAATGTGTGGTGAGCTCAATCTGTGTCACAAGTGCGAGCCACAGAAAAAGAAATGTACTTTTCAGATAAAAGATCATCACAATATCCTGCAGCTTTAACTTATAACAAAGCTTGCAAGAAAAACATGATAATTCATTGAATTTGTCACAAGTGATCGGTCGAATTTGTCTTGACGTCCTTCCTCTTGCTTCAAATACGTTGCAATATCAAGTCATCACGAACAAAATTAATCTTAATTAGCTAACCAAAGCTCATCAAGTCAACTAGTGATCACATTAGCATTAGACAAGCTTGTCTTCTCGGCAATCATGCTGTTCGATCGAACTCGCCGCCGTGATGGTGGCTAAGGCGACGTCGGCGAGTAGTGCCGCGTGGGGAAGGCCGTGTTCTGGTCGGCGCCGTCCCTACTGTTGACGTAAATCGAATATAATTTCAGTAGTTGATTTAAATGGCTTAAAACTTCTAAAACTTCGTAACTAATTTATATGAACTCTAAATTTAGCCAATCTGGAGGACTGCGACCGCAAGGAAAAAGCATATGGAAGCTAGATTAATTGAAGAAGCAAGGTGAGTCACACGTTCCCTGCTTGAATATGTTTAACCTACTTTATGAAATGGTTGCCATTTAGAAATAATATATATATATATATATATTGCTAATTACGTGGGATACGGGATTACTAAATCCACTTGCTTAACGCCAATTTACTTGGTATCCACTCCTTATCAATCCTTGGGTATAATAATTTTATCAGCTTGGGTTAATTATGTTGACCAAGCTATGCTTAGCCATACTTAGTTCATCTAATGGGATAATCACTTTACTCATAATTTGTATATTGACGAGCTTAATTCAAGCTCGAGATATTGTACCATTATTTGTTGGTCCTAATTTGTCCAACTAAAATATGTCTTAATGATAGACTATGGATGCATGGTTTTAATTTTTCGCACCCATGATAATGATGGACCTTTTTGCGGGAATCTCTGAAAGACTTACCGTACTTACCACAAACCAATAGGTGTAATTGCTAACCTTTTAGTATAGCTCTCCCCTTTCATAGGTATACAAGCGAGTGTGGCCGTGAAGGAGTTTGGTTGAACAGGATGGTCTAAGCAGCTTCCAGATTAACCGTGGCATAATGAAGGGGTTGTCCATCCTGATTTTAGGGATGGTGGCGAAACATGCAGTGTGGGGTGTCAATGGTTAGGGAAGGGTTATGAGGAGGTGGTTGGTTGGGCTTGTTCAATGTGTTGTACCGTTGTTAAGTGGAGACTAATCTTTTCTTAATTAATCAAATATTTTACTATTTTTAACTACAAATATTTACAATTGTCTTTATCCAAAAGAGTAGATCATGATACAAAAGACTACTATCTTTGTTTCCCCTTGCACAATTACATCATTGGTGTTGCTTGCTGAGTACAGTGGTTGGTACTTAGCCTTGCCTAATTTTCTATTCTCAAATTTTTAGTGCCTCTGTGATGAAGACGGAGTTAAAATATCAAGCGTTGTACCCTAGTTGAGTACTCCTGTGGACTGAAGCTAAACACCCACTAGGATAGTCCTTTTCCGCCGTTGCATTCTTTTCGGTATGAGGACTAATTGTCACTTTTGTAAATATTTATGCTTTATTTATGTTTGGATATGTACAATAACATGTCATTTGATGTACCTTGTGTTGATTCCTAAACAAGGATTTAATACACAAATTGGTCTGAAAAAAGGAAAAATTTCTGGGTGTGAATCACCACACGGCACAACAGCTCCCACTCAAAAAATGACACGGCAACATAGAGCCTACACCGCTTCTCCAACCACATGAAACCATGCTGCCATAGCATAAGTAGGTGGTTATTGTTGCTGAGCTTGCCACCTAGTTAGGCAGTTGTGACTCTGCCCATGCGAATGCTCCGCAACTCGGTGGAAACATCCAGCACTGCCACCTACATGCACGGATCCTCTTCTGCTGCAAGCACCAAGAAAGTATTTTCAATGCCGAAGGTCGCCCATGCTATGCCGAGAAGACACCAAATTGGCCAAACTACCAAGAACATGTGAATCCCATTGTTTTTTTGTCTAGTGCTCTAGTCTTCTAGCAAAGACCTTATCAAAGGTGTTTGAAGAGTCAAGGGGGATAAAGAGAAGTTTGCTCCTATGGCAACAAACGGATCAATCAGCTATACATACCGCCTCCATCTCTTTCAATAGGAAGTACCGCAGGGCTTCAAGAATCATGACCGACCTCTTACATTGGCTACATACTCTGACACTGATGGTTTGTGTTTCGTGCAACGGCTCTGGCTATATCCTCATCTCCACCTCCTTGTGATGTTGCAAGCGAAGTTTATCTTGATTAATGCGCAAACACTGGACGAACATCTATGTTCGTTTCCGATGCATCCTAACCCTAACACGTAATGGTGAGGTAGTTGTCCATCAACATAACTTAGATTAGCCTATCGTGCAGAAGCTGAATCAGATGAGCATGAGACGAAGAGGCAAGGTCTTTTGGGGGACTATTATACAATTGTGGTAGGATATATATATAATTCGTATGCTAGCAGAGCAGGGGTATTACGATGCAATTCAGTTCCTAAGAGAAGGGTGAAATAGGACAAAACAATGGAGAAATTGAAGGCAGTGGTATGTTCTTGAACCATGGAGAAATTCGACGGTAATAAAGTGAGGAGTGAAGCCAAAAATGTTGGGTGGTATAAACTAAACTTCCTGTATTTTGATGGTATTAATTGAACGATTCTTTTTTCCTTTCCAATGAACTAACTAACCTGACTTGCAAGCAACAACCACTTTGTACCTTTTCGGAACTTTTTTTTTCTAACACGATATCAAATGAGTCTCTACAATCATAAATGTGAAAGTATCAAATTATCCTATGTGTAAACCAGAAGCAAAAACATCCATCGGCTTTTCCAAATTCTGTTTCTTCAAAGCTCACAAAACTCCACAATATCCAGTGAGCTCGATCTGTGTCACCAGTGCGAGCCAGAGAAAAAGAAATGTAACTTTTAGATAAAAGATCATCACAATCCACCTTTAATCTATCAGAATGCTTGCAAGAAAACCAAGGTAATCAATAAAAATGGTACAAGTGATCGATCGAGAGTTTGTCTTCACGTCCTTTCTCATACTTCAAATACGTTGCACTCCCAATCCCAAGTGATCAAGAACAAAATTAAATTTTCTAAATTACAAGCAAATCAAAGCTCATCGAAGTATAGCTATGGCATTGGCATCAGACAAGTTCGTCCTCTCCGCCATCGTGCTCGCCGTCCTCACCGTCGCGGCAGCGGCGGCGGGCTACGGCGGCTACGGCGACGTCGGCGAGTACTGCCGCGTGGGGAAGGCGGTGTCCCGGAACCCGGTCCCATCGTGCCGGAACTACATCGCGCGGTGGTGCGCCGTCGCCGGGGGCCGCCTGGACTCCGGCAAGCAGCCGCCGCGGCAGCTCCTGGAGCCGTGCTGCCGGGAGCTCGCCGCAGTGCCGATGCAGTGCCGGTGCGACGCGTTGAGCGTGCTGGTGCGTGGCGTGGTCACGGAGGAGGGCGACCGCGTCGCCGGGATGATCTCGCAGCACGCGGCGCCCGGGTGCGACGCCGCGACGATCGCCGGGATGGCGAGCGCGCTGACGGACTACGGCCGGTGCAACCTGCAGCACACTGGTTTCTTTGGCTGCCCCATGTTTGGGGGTGGCATGGATTAACTTCCTTAGTAATTAATTAATTAGGCCTTTGCTTAATTAATTATTTAATTAGTTATCCGGGTTACTGGATAATTAATTATCGATATTTGCTAGTAGCATCTATCATGTTTGGATGCTGCTTTCTCCGTGAATGTGATGATAATAATAATCAGAAGAAATAAATAAGAAGAGTTGGATTCATCAGCTTTCCAGTATCATCCTCACAAGCCTCATGGTCAAGACTATGGAACCTATACCTGTCCTGATGGTGAAGAGAGTGCCACTCTGATGCATGCGGTGCATATGCTTAGTGCTATGGATGCAGTAAGTGTGGAGCGAGCCAAAGCAGCTCATGACAGGGAAAACTGGAATCGAGGCAAGATTTGCAAGTTGGAGAGCAAGGTGTACCGTCTACAGAAGGAATTAGCTGAACTTAAAGGAGAAACGCCGCCGCCAACACCCAAGCTTCGCCTCACTGCAAGAAAGAGAACCTGTCCGCCACCTCGTCTCCAGTTAGCTTCGAAGATTCGCGTGATGGGTGAAGCTGTGCCCGATCGTGCTGAACCTGTCATCGACATCATAAGTGATGAGGAAGAGGAGGAAGACCCTGAAGAAAGAGAGCCAGCTACTCCAGAGGAAGAAGATCCATCGCTTCGTTCCGACGCAAGGCGGGATTAGTCGCTTAGTTAGATCGTTGCCGTAGTTCACTGTGATTAGATTGTTTGTTTAAGTTTGCTTGTGAGTGTGTGGGTTTTACTTGTTGCTTACATCATTGGTGGGATGTAACAGCATGAGTCTAGTTCTTTTGCTTGTCAGAGTGTAAGATAGTTGGTGAGACAGTGTTAATGCAACTTAAATGTAATCATACACAGTTAAGAGCAATATAGAATTTAAATTAATTAAATAACTCCGTTCTAAGGGTGTCTCTCTGTCGTTCTTTCCTGTTGTCTCTGCTTATCGTCAGATGGTGAACACGCGCACTGGAAGTGGAAGTGGAAGTGGAAGTGGAGCTACTAACAATGGAGGAGATCCCACGCTAGCTCAGATTCTGGCCCAACAAACACAGCTGATCAATCTGTTAGTGCAGCAGGCACAGAATCAGCAGGCAAACAATCAGAACCAGAATCCACCCCCACCTCCCCAAAACAAGCTGGCAGATTTCTTACGTGTGAGACCCCCTACCTTTTCAAGCACTACCAATCCAGTAGAAGCAGGAGATTGGCTGCATGCGGTGGAGAAGAAGTTGGACTTGATCCAGTGTACTGAGCAGGAGAAAGTTTCTTTTGCTTCGCATCAACTGCATGGACCTGCTGCTGAATGGTGGGATCATTTTCGCCAAGGCAGGGCTGAAGGAGAGCCTATTACGTGGCAGGAATTCACGGCCGCTTTCAAAAAGACACATATACCAACGGGTGTTGTAGCTCTAAAGAAGAGAGAATTTAGAGCACTCAACCAAGGATCTCGTTCGGTCACCGAGTACCTCCATGATTTCAACCGTTTAGCTCGTTATGCTCCGGAAGATGTTCGCACCGATGAAGAGCGTCAGGAGAAGTTCTTGGAGGGACTGAATGATGAGTTGTCTTATGCCTTGATGTCTACGGATTTCCGGGATTTCCAGCAGTTGGTGGACAAGGCGATTCGTCAGGAAGACAAGTATAACCGGATGGAGCAGAAGAAGCGCAGGGCTGCCCAATTCAAGGCACAACAGGGCAGTAACCAGAGGCCGCGTCTCGTTACGGGACCTCAAGCTCCATCGTACCCTCAAGGAGGATCTTCATCAGTTGTCCGCCCCCAACGCCAGTTCTACAACAACAATACTGGTAATCGTGGTAATGACAACCGCAACATGGTTGCTCGTCCTGCAGCAACTCCAGCTCAGAACCAGCCCGTCAGGAAGGAACAGGGAAGCAAGCCAGGGGTGTGCTTCAATTGTGGTGATCCAGGACATTATGCTGATAAGTGTCCTAAGCCTCGGCGCGTGAAGAACGCTCCAGCCCCGAATAACTCCAATGCTCCAGCACCAAAGGCACGTGTTAATCATGTTGCAGCAGCAGAAGCTCAGAATGCACCAGATGTGGTTTTGGGTACGTTTCCTGTTAACTCTATACCCGCATCTGTGCTTTTTGATTCCGGTGCTACGCATTCTTTTTTGTCTAAAAGTTTTGCGAGCAATCATGGGATGGAAGTTATTAGTCTTGGGAGACCTTTACTAGTTAATACCCCAGGCAATCAAGTATTTTCGACACAGTATTGTCCTTCCGCTACTATAGAAATAGAAGAAGTTCCTTTCCCATCCTCGCTTATCTTGCTAGAATCCAAAGATCTAGATGTTATCTTAGGGATGGACTGGTTATCTCGTCACAGAGGAGTTATAGATTGTGCCAACCGTAAGGTGACTTTAACCAATAGCAATGGGGAAACAGTTTCTTTCTTTGTGTCCTCTCCTAAATCTCATGGTGTGATCTTAAACCAAGTTGCTCTACAAGAGATCCCCATAGTACAAGACTACCCAGACGTGTTTCCCGAGGATTTGCCAGGTATGCCACCTAAGAGAGACATAGAGTTTCGGATAGACTTGGTACCTGGAACCAACCCTATCCATAAGAGACCGTACAGAATGGCAGCTAATGAGTTAGCTGAGGTGAAGAGACAGGTGGATGATTTGCTTCAGAAAGGATACATCAGACCCAGTACTTCGCCATGGGGAGCACCAGTCATCTTTGTGGAGAAGAAAGATCATACTTAGAGAATGTGCGTGGATTATCGAGCGTTGAATGAGGTTACTATCAAGAATAAGTATCCTCTACCCAGAATTGATGACCTGTTTGATCAACTGGAAGGTGCTACAGTTTTCTCCAAGATAGATCTCCGTTCTGGATATTATTAACTTCGAATCCGTGAGGAAGATATACCAAAGACCGCCTTCACAACTCGGTATGGTTTGTTCGAATGTACCGTTATGTCATTTGGACTCACTAATGCCCCAGCCTTTTTCATGAATCTGATGAACAAGGTGTTTATGGAATATCTGGATAAGTTTGTCGTGGTGTTTATTGATGACATTCTTATTTACTCCAAGACAAAGGAAGAACATGAAGAGCATCTTCGTCTAGCTTTAGAGAAACTACGTGAGCATCAGCTTTATGCCAAGTTCAGTAAATGTGAATTTTGGTTGTCCGAAGTGAAGTTTCTTGGTCATGTCATCTCGTCTGGTGGAGTGGCAGTAGATCCAAGCAATGTGGAGTCAGTGTTAAGTTGGAAGCAACCCAAGACGGTTTCCGAAATTCGTAGTTTCCTTGGACTTGCAGGGTATTACCGCAGGTTTATTGAGAACTTTTCAAAGATCGCCAGACCAATGACTCGTCTGCTTCAGAAGGAAGTGAAGTACAAGTGGACAGAGGATTGTGAACAAAGTTTCCAAGAATTGAAGAAAAGGCTAGTGACTGCGCCTGTATTAATTTTGCCTGATTCGAGGAAAGGTTTCCAAGTGTATTGTGATGCATCCCGACTCGGTTTGGGTTGTGTGTTGATGCAAGAAGGAAAGGTGGTTGCCTATGCATCTAGGCAATTACGTCCTCATGAGAATAACTACCCAACGCATGACCTAGAATTGGCAGCTGTGGTGCATGCATTGAAGATTTGGCTTTCGAAGAAGGAGATTATGTATACCTTCGGGTTACGCCGTTACGAGGTGTTCATCGTTTCCAGACCAAAGGGAAATTGGCACCGCGTTTTGTGGGACCTTTTAAGATTGTGAGTCGAAAAGGTGAAGTAGCTTATCAGTTAGAGTTGCCTCTGTCAATGGCGGGAATACATGACGTATTCCACGTGTCTCAGTTGAAGAAATGTTTACGTGTACCTACGGAGGAAGCAGATCCTGATCGTATAGAGCTTCAAGAAGATTTAACTTATGTTGAGAAGCCAGTCAGAATTTTGGAAGTAAGTGAGAGGAATACCAGGAATCACGTTATACGGTTCTGCAAGGTTCAGTGGAGCAATCATTCAGAAGAGGAAGCCACTTGGGAGCGAGAAGATGAATCGAAGTCAACTCATCCTCATCTGTTCGCCAGTTCTTCTGAATCTCGAGGACGAGATTCCGTTTAAGGGGGGTAGGTTTGTCACGCCCTAAAAATCGCCTAATGTAAAAATACATTGTTTAAATCATTTTTAGAAATTATTTTAAAAGCCTACAAACTAAACCCTAATTATCTAGGAAAATTTTCAACATAAAAATGAGCTAGATAAAATTTTATTAAATACTATACTTGCTCCTCTATTTTCTAGATTTTTCTGGAAATTATTTGAGCAAGGGAAGTATTTTTAATAATTGAAACAACATTTCACAAATTATTTTAATTTTAAAAGTTCCAAAACCCCTCCCTAAAGCCGTTGGGCCGTTTTTGGCCCAACATCTTTCCTCTCTCCCGCGGGCAAGCCGGCCCAAGCCGGCCCAGCGCTGCCCGAGTCGGCTCAAGCCGAGCCGCCCACCCCTCCCTCACGTGGGACACCGACATGTGGGGCCCACATGTCGGGCCCTTCTCCTACCTCCGGCCGGCCGCCGCTTGCCAAGCCCGACCGAGCCGCCTTCCGCCTCCAAATCCGCTCCAATCCGACCCCGATTCTTCCGGGTTTTTGAGGGGTTTTTATCCCCACTTTCTCCTCTATCTTTACCCCCAAGATTCGGAGCAAATCGTTGAGTATTCTCTCCGAATCGAGTTCGTTTCGAATTTATCCCCAAAAACCGAGTTTAGATTTTCCCGAGTCGATTTCTTGCGGGAGGAGTCCGATCTCTTCAATCCAAGGCTATAAATAGGACCACCTCGTCGCCCTCTTTCGTTTTCCCCATCTCCCGAGCTCTCTCGTGCTCCGTAGTGTCGCCGCCGCGCGTGTCTAGCTCGCCGCCGCCGCCGGTCATCTTCGGCGCCGCCGCGCCGCCGCTTGCGTCGTCGCCGCCGCTTGCCGCCGCCGCCGTTAGGTGCGCCGTGGTGAGGGGAACCTCGGCCGCCCGTCCCCTTTCGCCGCCGGCCGCCGTAGCTCGCCGCCGCCGGTCAACCGAGCCGCCGCCGTCGCCCTTCTCGTTGCCGGCCGTCGTCGTTCGTCGTTTGTCGTTGTGGTGAGTACCGTTGGGTTCGTCTCGTCGTCCTCTACGTGTACATGCCCTCCAAATCCGCGGCCGACCACCCTAGCTCCGGCGAGGTCGCCAACCCTAGCCGGCCTC